AGGAACGCCGGCGGAATTGCAAAAAAATTCTTATCATTGCTATTAGATATAACATCTGACAAAAGCATAGTGTACATATTGGGAGCCGGACCAATAAGGCTATCAGGCCTATGTGTGCGACCAATCGCCATTTACAATTCAGATTACTATTTATACCTGGCGTATGGGTAACATGTTCCAGACGTTTATTTCCAAGGTTTGTGTTTAATTTTGTGTCCTTGGTAATTTGGGGGGACTTTTGAGCTGTTGAACATACTTGCGATGGTTTGCAAGATTCCAATGTATCGACATTAAGTATGTGGTCAGCTATATAAATGTTATGATTAGTTTTCCTGTTATCCGTTGCACAGTTACTGTACCTGGGTATTGCACTAACAGGGATTTGGACTGTGTTGTCCCATTCGTCATCAGAACAACTACTTCGGGTTGAATCTAAGTCAACAGTCCTAAGACAATGGACACCACCTACATCGGGAGAGTTTTTCTGTGGCGTCATACTTGTAAAGCTAGACGTCCTCTTAGAATCGGACTTAATTTTACAACCGTTAGGATTATGATGCGTTTGGGAGTTTGACGCTGGTGGTCTGTAGTTATCTCGTTCTGCTTTTTGCTGGCATAGTGTTCTATCTGGAAGAATCTAAATATCCTTGAAAATCTGTTACTGTTTCAATGAATTGGGGAAAGTTAGAAACTCACTGGCTTCTGCAGATGAGTTGAATTTGAAGAAGATCGGTGAGTGGATACGAGAGTGACTTCTTTTTAATCTTGTGCATACACATGGTACGTGTGTCATATTACTGGCTCTAAGCAGACTAGACATGATATTTTTAAGGGCATATTTGTCCGGTATATTGAACACAATTGCATTGCCAGATCGTCTTATTCTTCCAAATACCTCTGATGCAACGCGATCTAGGAGATTATTTATGTCATTCACTTGATCTGGAATCTCTGTGAGGTTGAGGTTGATGAGATACTAAAGCGGATTGAAAATATTCATGTCAGCTTGCAACTTTTTATATCATCCACATCGTTAAAACTGTGATTATCATCACTGTTTACCAACAGAGTCTTCAACATGTATGGCATGGAGACAACTGGTAAAAGCTTGTCCGCTTCCGAATGAACGGAGTAGCTCGTCTCGTTGCAATTGTCGGAAATCGTGTCCGTAGCAGTGTTAGATTGTGTCGTTTTCCTACGTTTGGCTGGACGCTAAGAAGCAGAGGCATTCATTTTCTTTTGTGGCATGATAAGAAAGTGACGCATAACAGATGGATTAAACAAAAAGTAGAAAGTAGAAATGCATGAAAAAATCAATGCCGAGAGCTCAAGATAGCCTAGAAATCAAAACCTATGTTCTGACCAAGAGTGAATGTATCGTGAGAAATAGTGAAGCTGTCAAAAACAAGAGATGAGAATGGCAGGAAGATTGTAGTGGAGATGTAGTCTGTATGTCAGTACCTGTGCGGAGGCAAAATAGAACATAAAAGAGCAAGTCGTGTAAATTTTAACATATATATTACACTGAAAGATAGCCTTATATAATAAAGTTATTTAGAAATATCGATAATTATTATCAAACAATCAAAGTGAGTACGGTATATGGTACATATATAAACTGAAAGTCCGCATTAGTAAAAATTGGGAGCTGCAGAGATAAGTAGTTCAAAAAATTATTACCGTCTAAAATTATTTTGTTGCTTTATGAACAAATACATGAAACAGCCTTTTGAATAAAAGTACTGTCAAGAAAACTTTGACAGACGCACCGTATAGGACAGGTAATTTCTGGAATTAAATGAGTTTAAGCATCCAAATACGATTTAAAAGATAGTACATAAAATAGTGAGTACAGTGCTTTATCAAACGCGATTACATATACTTCTTGGTAATAGGTAGAGGTCTGAATAGATCCTGTAAATACATAAAGTACGTGGGTTATAGCATCCAAACACGATATAGTAATACTCGTTAAGGAATAGAATACAGATATGAAACGCAATCCTTCGTCTAATATGATTATATATGGTTTTAAAAATGACAATGCATGGTTTGATCATGTAGCCAAAATGAATATATGTAATTATATGATTGTAGGAATATTATCATACATACCATGAATAAATTTAACTCAGATCTTATCATAAAGCGTGAAATTTACCGTTTATATGTTAGTAGTTCAGAATTGAGTTATCTTCCATAATTCCAATAAAAAATAATCCATCCAGTTCTGTGAGAATCCTAGAAAAAGAAAACTGAAGGCTTTGGCCTGAAAGTAACGTCAAATCCGTAGCGTCCTGGGCATTCCTTTTCAGTTCTATCGAGTTGTTGTTGATTCTTCTCATATCTGTCTCGATTTCTCGCCGTAATGTGTTCTTTGATCTTCCTCTTCTCCTTTGGCCTTGAGGATTCCAAGTCATGGCTTGCCTTATGACGCAGTTGGGTGCTTTCTCCAACATGTGTCCTATCCACTTGCAGCGCTTCTTCATGACTTCTTCCTCCACTGGGATCTGGTTTGTTCTCTCTCACAGTAGGTTGTTGCTGACAGTGTCTGGCCAACGAATCCGAAGTATTTTGTGTAGACAACTGTTAATAAACACTTGTATCTTCTGGATGATGGCTTTCTCAGTTCTGCAAGTTTCCGTCTCATACAGTAGAACTGTTTTGACATTTGTATTGAAAAGTCCGACTTTGATGTTGGTTGACAGTTGTTTTGAGTTGCAGATGTTCTTCAGTTGTAGATGTGCTGCTCTTGCTTTGCCGATCCGCGCCTTCACATCTGCATCAGATCCACCGTGTTCATCAACGATGCTGTCCAGATATGTAAAGGTTTTACATCTTCCAAAGCTTCTCTGTCAATTGTGATTGGATTGGTGCATGCAGTGTTGTATCGGGGAATCTTGCTTTTCCCTTTGTGTATGTTGAGACCTACTGCTGCTGATACGGCTGCTACACTGGTCGTGTTCTCCTGCATTTGTTGTTGCGTGTGTGACAGAAGAGCCAGATCATCTGCATCCTAGTCGTCCACTGTATCCCATGCTTCTCCTCAGATGTTGACGTCTTCATGATCCAGTCGATAACCAGGAGAAAGGGAAAGGTTGTGAATAAGCAACCTTGCCTGACAGAGGTCTTTATCTCGAACGAGTCTGTCAACTGTCCTCCATGCACGATTTTGCTGTTTAATCCATCGTGGGGATTCCATATGATATTGACTTTGTTATCACGCACGCCGGAGTGTAATATGATGAATTCCATGCAATTGTTTATTCTACGATGACTCGTGGTGTTGCGATTCGGTCGGTATACTATCGGTCCTTAAGTAATCCAACCGACACTATATTGATGAAAGCCTCATCTGCAACAGCACAGGGTTTTCCGAAGTGAACCTGAGCGCTGAGTAGGTGTTCCGGAAACTGCAGCACCTAAGAAAAGACACTCCTTCTGACCCGGATATGGTTCATTCTGCTATACTGAGGGAAGCAGCTTCAATTCTGTCAACATCGCTTAGCGTGATGTTCTCACACTCGCTAAGCCGAAGCAAACTACCGGTGGTTTAGAACATGGCTCACATCACATCAATTTTCAAAGGAGGTCGACTCAGCAAACCTTCAAGTTACCGACCGGTGGCTCTTCTCTCTATAGTTTCAAAAATTATGGGACCACTGATACGCGAGGGTATACACGACTGTTAAACTTCTTTTCATTCCAACAGCATGGTTTCAGAAAGGGTCATTCTTGTATAGCTAAATTGCTGACTGAGGTGGACAGATGTACAGCCATTTTCGATCGCTAGGAGAAGGTTGACGCCATACGCCTCGACTTCTCAAAAACTCTTGATAAAGTCAACCACATATGTTTTATCAATAAGCTCAGACGACTAGGTATCATATCATTTCTAAGTGGTTGACTCACACCATATCTAAGAAATCGACATCTTAAGTTCAGGGTTAACTTCGATTTCCCTCAGACTACGGAATGTCCTAGTGGAGTCTACGAGGGTTCAGTAATGGGACATCTTCTTTTTTGATTTATATAAACGATCTTCCACAACAGGTACCGTCATACTTATTACATTTTACTGATCGTGTGAAACTTTGGAGAGAGATACGCAACCAAGGTGATATGCCCGCATTGCAGGAGGATCTGAATCGACTTCAAAGTTGGACAGATGACAACGAACTTACTTTTAACACTTCAAAGTGTAAAGTAGAGCATCTGAGACATGTTGAAGACTACAATTACAAGTGAGGAAACTTCCCTCTAGAAGTATCTCAATTTGAAAAGGATTTAGCAGTGCTGGTAACCTACAATTTGATGTCTTACGCTAACTGTGACAAAAACGCCTTTCGAGCAAACCTTGCACTGGTAACGCATTTTCGGCCAGTTCGACGGAGGAACTTTCCACATCATCTTTAACAGTTTTATTCGTCTTCATCTAGAGTATGGAAAAATAGTATTTCCTCCCTCACTCCAAAAGGACAGAGACACTCTGAAGCGTATCCGATCGTGGACTCAAATTCTAGCCTTATGAAGAGCGTCTCCACCCACTAAACCTTTATTCATTAGAGTACAGGCATCTTAGAGGTGATCTTCTAATGGCTTGTAGCATCCTTAACACTTCTGGACATCCCCTCAAACACTTACTTAAATTTAGCCTCAACACAAACCTAAGGGGTAACACTCAGAAACTGGAGACACAGCACAACCGAACGAACTGTAGACACAACTTGCACTCCTTAAGAGAGGTCAAATGCTAAAATTCGCTGCCGGCTGAGTTAGTCCAAGCGACTTCCCAGGAGTCCTTCAAGAGGGAACTTGACATATTCTTAAGGACTAATGGTGGTATCTTACTATGATTTACCAATTTCTTTTTCCTCTATTATCGTCAGTATGCCTAGGTTCCAGCCTAGAGGAATTGGTGATCCACTGCTACTAGACACGGAAGCCCGTTAAGCGAAAGCTTCTTCTATTCCGTTCACAACCATTTGAACCATTTGAGCTGTGACTTGACCTAGACGGCGAATTTCATTCTTAAGGTCGTTAGACATGCACAAGGTGGCATCTGAATTTGCAGTCTCAAATGGTATACTTACGTAAATAGCTTGACGGTCTATAGGAATTCTTAAGGTGGTCGACGGAAACCCATCTCTTTTATCATGTACACTTTTACCATCTCCCGTACCAAAAGTATTACTATGTCGTGCTCAATCAATCCAATGTGATTTTAACTTGTTATATCACAGGGTTGCAATGAATCATGAATTTCTGTATGATGTGTTGAAGCCGTGAGTCTCTTTCATCAAATTTCCGAATTTTCAGCGTTCTTGCTGTTGACCCTTATCTTCGCTCATTATGGGGTATATATTCACGAATTCGAACTAACAAAATTACTCAGGTAAAGAAATTTTGTTTGAAATCGATTACACAGATTTCATGTATCCCGAAAGTCTGCCGATCCCTACTTAAAGTTTTATAACTGTTTAGACTTTTTCTGAAATATTACTCGGTAGACTTCTCAGGTAGCGTGCACTGCGCGATATATGCTTAAACGATAAAAAATCTTAGTATTATTTACCCGTTTTCGCTTTAACATTTACCCAAGACGTTCGGCACTCCGAACACCAAATATGGGGGAATAAAGAGGAACCTTAGAGAAATTCTGTGGAAAATGCTCAAATCGGTATGAATGTAGCCGACAATCCATCAAATCTTCGCCTCTTCCTTAGCCCAAGGTAAAATTGCTGCTGTTCTTCATTTAAGTGAAGTGTCTTGGAACAAGACCTTTCTAATTGCTTGATTTGATTTGTAACTTGTGCCTGTTAGACCTCATGGAACATAGGCTACCTACCATTATTCTCCAACCAACCTTGTCCTTTCTATTCCTTTTCGGTCACGAACTGCTATTATTTCTTTTGACTTATTCCTTCTGTTTCCAACTCATTTTTTGGTCCATCTCTTGTCCGATGAACAAGGAGGATCGAATGAACACGTAAAGCCGAGGATTGGCAAATAAAGGGCCGCATCCCTACAATTGAATAACATATGGAATTCACTGTTACTAGACACGGAAGCTTCTTTTATTCCGCCTACAACTATTTAGACCATTAGAAGCACCATTTAATTTTGTTTTTAGAGCGGAAAGCACAGGAGGCTGAATAATTTATGGTATATGTCTTTTAACATCTTTCGCACGAACATGTAAAAGCGGTTGATAATTTCGCGCTCTTTTTGTTGCTTTGGTGCGACTAAAGGTATTCGGTAACGTTTTCGGTGGCGCAGGAATATGAATCCAGTTTGATCGGATGAATAATTGTTATTGAAATATATATATCGCCCGTTCTCTTAAATAATTATCGTGTTAACTGGAGTTAGTGAAGAACAGAATTCCCGTAAAAATGGCGTGTGCCTGCTCTTGCAGAAATATATATTATTATATTAAATAGGCTAAGTAAGAAAATGAGTTTTAAAAATGTGTATTTCATGCACTTAGTGATTTGAACAGGCAGTCGGGGAGACGAAACAGAGAGGCAAGAGCAAAGTGGATTCTAGTGGGCAAGTGAGCTAACTGGAGTTAATCAAGTGTTAATCAATATTCATGGTCACAAAAAAGTAAATCACAGACATGCGATAAGTACGATAAGATTTGCACGCACATTGACTCATCTAAAAACAGTCATTAAATAAGTCAATAAATGAAAAGGTCAAAATGTGGTTTTAGAAAAATGAATAGATTGGCTTGTTCGGAAGCTAGAACGAATCATGTGGGTTTGACTTGGCACTCACACTATCCCTCAAACGTTCAATGATTAGCAGAATAGCCACTCTACTGCACTAAATCCAGTAATTTCAGTAGTCATCAGCGAATTTCTATATCTTCTAGTCCTAGTGAGTGCCTCTGTCCCATGATAGTAGGGTTTATGGATACCGGCACTATTCACATTAACATACTGGACGCTGGTTGGTTAAAATCTGAAAAATAATAGTGATCATTCGGATACTAGGAGAGTACGATTGTTTTAAGAAATAAATGAGTTGGAAAACTGATTGGCAATGCACGTATTATGAGAATACAGAAGTGTAGGAATAATAGAGGAAGTGGAGATGATAATAAGCGAAATAGAAACAAGTTAATGATGAGATAATGACAACAGTATGCAAGTTACGAGACACGCATTCGACACAAATGTTTCAAGAGGGGATGGTAATCCATGGATGAGTACGTGTTTGCCAAGTCTTCTCTTGAAGCCATTCACTGAGGGGGCTGTGGTCACTTCGGTTGGGAGAACACTACCAATAGGGGCAACTCTTAATGAAAAAAGAAAGAGCGTACCTGGGTTTTCGTTCTTTGATCTGCAATCTTTCGATGGTTGTCTTGAGGAACGTGGTGTTGTTTATGTAGGATACACGCATTTGGTGGAATTATAGTACTTAATATGTTGTATACCATAATCAGAGCACCACTTATTCTCCCACAGCTGTGTTGTAGTTTGTCTTGGCAATATTTGTGTTCTACCCTACCATCCACTTGGTTGGCCGTCTATGAGTTTAGTCCGAGATTTAAATCACTTATCGTAATCAGGAACGATGAATTTAAACACTCCAAAAGAAGCTGTGCACATTCTTATGATTATTAGAAGCAATTATCGGGTGATTTCGCTAAGTTTTCTAAGTAAAAGATGAATTGTTACATTTCCATTGTCTGCATCCGCTTGGCGGTCCGGAAAGACATCTGTGAGGCGCCTAAAGTCTAATTAGTAAAGCTCTAGTGATTCAAGGCACAATTCACAACGTTCGATTGGGATTCCTCAAGCAGGTTTCATGGATTGCCTTTGGATATATTTTATTTCTTTGAAGTAAGGGAGGAGATACTTCATTTTTGCATTCCAAATGTGGTTGAACGAAGTTGTTAGAGATTGAATAAAGATTAGAAGGTCAAGCTTGCCAAAAATGCGCTCCAACGCCACCATTGCAATGTTTGCTCGGAAAGCGTTTCGTCAAAACTATCATACCTTATTCATCTTTGGACACCTTTGGAGGAGAATCATCAACTTTGTATGTGTAGTCTGTATCGCGTATCAGATGGACTACTTTACACTTTGAAGCATTTTTCATTGAACCTTAGTCCATCATTAAAACAAATCCAAGACTTTTCATGTTTAGATATAAGGCCTTATTTCTTGTGGAATGCTTCTGAATCATATTGGATGGTTTTAAAATGTAAAAATCCGTAATGTTTGTTTATCTAAGGCAACTAAAATTGAGCATAGGCCATTATTAGTTCACTTCATGAGGCGTTTTTCCTGCAAAGGTTACGTTAGTTACATTTACGATTCCTTCCGTATTGTTATATGAACGTAGGCCTTCTCTTTTCTGTAAAACGGTACTGACTTTTAAGCTAGTAACGTGCGTGTAGGTGATCACAGTAAGCTTCACGAGCATAAGTGGTGTGACTGATGGGGCTGCTCCAAAAAGTTATATTACCAGTTAACGCGACTGTTTATAATTCGCAGAGGTTTAGCACACGAAAAATACAAAATTACTTAACTCAACGTAAATTCCAGTACTTGTTTCAACGAAAGAAAACCTCTGAAATGTTACCTTCAGTCCTGTAGCAGCTAATATTGTGTAACTCTTGTATGTCGGTTTGAAAGGAATTTATTATCCTAACATGTCGATCCGAAATAAAATATGGAACTTGTCTTCAGCAAATTTTGTGCACTACGAAATGATTACCATCATAAATAATGAAGTGAACACAGGTGTCGTGTGACAAAGAATGGCCAGGACAAGACAGATGCCGTGACCATTTACCGTGACAACGTTGTTAGACATAATCCTCCTGTCAACAAAGAATTCGAACGAGGTGTGTCATGGAGTTGATTACTCACTTCAGACTTGACTAATAGTATGGTGTGTGTTACTTATGTTGACATGCACAAGTAGTATGTAGCATCGTTCGAGAATAGAATGCCTGGCAGCAGAATGTTTAAATGAAGAGAAGAAGGACGTAGACAGAGAGGAATTAGAATGACAACATGATTTGAGGAATGAAGGGGTATGTGTAGGACCAATGAAGGAAGATGTGTAAATAATGTATTGAATGTATTATTTCCATATTTTACGAAGGTGCTGTATAATTCTGCATAAGACAGTAAATTATTTTTCCCCACCTCAGTGTTCGTTCACTACAACGGTAGTTTACTCTTCAGAAGTGTGAAGATCGACAGAGTTGAATTAGTTACATTCACGGTGACTGAGACAGTTTACGATGAATACGGTTGTCCCGACACTATAATACTGGGAATGTCATACATTCAGCGTACTTCACCAGGAAGTTAGAAGGAGGTCATATTACTTATGTGAACAAAGCCGGGCCCAAACAGTAGCCCTAGTAGTAAAGACCGGTTAAACTAACGAAAACAGTCCGCAGTACGATTTTTAAGATGGGTCATCACCCATGACAAATCTTTCGGTAAAGCGGATCTGGATACAATATCGAGATTACAGAGAATTGGCAAATTTAATGTACTTAATTTTTATTTAGGCCCTTGATGAAGTTTCACGCAATACGTTTTTTTTAATTCTTAAAAGCCTGGAGATGGCAGAGCACCTTTGGTGGCTTGGAGTTATCTTACTAGTCTATGGCAGAAGACAAGAACCATCTTCAAAACTCTATTTCAAAACCAATACATAGACGGGTTTCGCGTGATCCGGTTATCAGTTATATTATATGCAGTTTGTCATAAGATCTTCATTGATACTCTATGCTGATAACAAAATTTGGGAGAATCGTCAAGAGATGGAAATACGAGTACATTTCTGTCTGACTTTGGTTACCTGTCAAACCGGTATGCTTAACACGTATCAGATTGTCTAAGCCAACCACCATACAGATGGTACGAACAAAAAAGCAGACAAAATACTACCATTCAGTCATGTTTATACATTTTAGAACATTGTTGGTTTTGAGAAAGACCTCCAGAAAGTGGGAAATTTGTTCACTATGACATACCTGGTTCCAGTGTGGTCCAAGCGAGAAAAATTCATTGCCAAGTGCAAACCCAAAACTTTCTGAAAATTTATAGAGAATGGCTCCCCGTGCAGTCTTTGAAGTGTGCCCCTTGCGGTAGCCTATTTGGATTGACATGCTAGATGTTTGAGAAATAGTAGTTTCTCGATTTATATGGTTTTACGTCGAATCACTTCATTATGTATAACAGCCCATCCTACTGAGGTAGTCAGGAGTGTTGTTTTGTAAGAACCTTTTGTAAAAACACCCAAGATTACTGACAGAGTCACATATTTAAGATAAAGATTAAACTACTACAGTGGCCTCGTCGTATGATCGGTGCTAGAAGTCTTGATAAAGTACCCTCGCCGACTTTAATTGACCTCTACCAGTCCTCATAAATCGTACAGTGTCTCTTGTAAATCCTCTAAGTCAAGGCATGTTCAGTCCCGAAGACCATTTGGTTGGGAACTCATTATACTTCATTGTCACTACAGTATTGCTAGTTAAAAACGACACTGCCAAATAAATGTGTGTAGTCAGGCATTCTGGTCATATAATATAGCAACCCCACTCGAGACACTCCCACCATACCTTAGACAACCAACACAGCTGATCCATGTTTTATGCTACTGCAAATGACCACTCTCGTCATCCTTCATTATCTTGTGGGTGGAGCATTTCAAAGAGTATGAAATTAACACTATCCAATCTGAAGCAATCAAACAGAGCGTAAGAATATCCTTCTTTTTCAATGTTTATATAAGCGTGATGTCTGGCTCTTTCGAGTGGTGTCATGTTCATTTAACTTGTCAGTGCTTGATGTAATTGTTACCGTTGATATTGAAATGTTGATTTGTATTTCGCTCCACTCTCATGGACCAATCAGATCCATAAGAGTGACCGAGGTTAGTTAAT